CCCCCCCCCCCCCCATTCAACCCTTTGGATATTGGATGTTATTTTTTTGCTCCTATAGTTTCTTTTGAAAAATCGTCAGTCTTACTGTTGCTCCTTTGAAGGCAACATGTCCTTTCTTCAGTTGGTTTGAAGATTTGCAGCTTGTCTTTCTTTTTCTACAATTTTTCCACGTTTTCTCCATTTTTAAAAAACATATTATTCATAGTTGTTTTGAAGTCCTTGTCTGTTAACTACAATATCTGGCCTCTGGGCCTGCTCCTATGGATTTCTATATTCTTCTTCTTTTTTTAATGTTTATTTTTGAGAGAGAGACAGAGACAGAGACAGAGTGAGAGTGGGGGAGGGGCAGAAAGAGAGAGGGAGACACAGAGTCCAGGCTCGGAGCTTTCAGCACAGAGCCCGATGCGGGGCTCAAACTCACAAACTGTGAGATCATGACCTGAGCCGAAGTCAGACGTTTAACTGAGCCACCCAGGTGCCCCTAGATTCCTATATTCTTAATTGACAACATCTTCCTGCAGACTTTGCGTGTCTATTGCTCTTGTTTGCTGGATCTTGTGAACAATATACTTGGTAGAGGTTCTTAATTACGGTACCTTCCTCTAAAGATTAGGTTTCGTTATGGCAGGCAGTTATGGTACTAATGGGCCACCTTGAGCCTCTGAAGTCTAGATTTTAGCCTCTAAAAGCACAGATCTATTTCAGTTTTGCACTGACTTCTAAGATGCAGTCCTTACTTGTAGTGCATGGTACTTCCTGTCAGGGTGTGACATTTGTAGGGGCATAATTAAAAGCCTTTCTTTTTTCCCCTCTTTCTCTTTCTCTTTTTTCTTTCCTTCCCTCCCTCCCTGTTTCTTTTCCTTTCTTCCTCCCTCTTTTCTCTTTTTTCTTTTCCTTTCCCTTCCCTTCCTCTCCCCTCGTCTTCCCTTTCCTTCTCCTGTCTCTTTCTCTCTTTTCTTCTCTCATCATTCCACTCCAGATGGGTCCAAAAACCAACCTCCAACTACTGGCATGTATGATCTCTGAATTTTCTGCACAATCTTCAGCTTTCTCTAGCTACTCTCTTCTAAGCCTCCTACAGTCTTTCTCTGTACATGCACAGCTTCGGTGTTATTTAAGGACCTGAGGGGAATTTTTAGGCAGATTTTTGGGGCTTCTTCTTTGTCAACCTTTATGTTACATGAAAAGAAATTCAGACATTTTAGGATCAGGTTCTATATTCCCTGTGACAGCCCCCTATTTCTCCGAAGAGCGCTGTTTTTTGTTTTTTGTTTTTTTTTTAAGAATATTACTTTAGAAATCGAGATCTCAGTGGGTGATATTCTCATTGCTACTAGGCCTCCTGAGCTCATAGGCCTTGAAAATACATGTAAGTGTACTATCCTATGCACATGTGTGTGCGCGCACACAAACACCTATCCATCCACCTATCAAAAAGCATGAATTCATACTGATACCTCCAATTCCAATCCACTCCAACGCCACAGTGTTTATTCTAGCCTTCTCTCTTTCCTTGTTTGCAACCTATCTCTTTGAGAGTAAGAAACTGGCTTTCATAATCTACCACATATTTACTTGTTCAACTCTAGTACACACATAAAGTAGTTTCACAATCGCTAATCCACACCATTGTAAGAAACCCATTTTCATCCAGAGGATTTCCAGACAGTTCTTTTCGTAGTCAGCCTTACATCTCTTGTCAAAATATACAGTTTTCCAGAGTAAATTTGGTTTTCTTCCTTGTGATTATGTTATTCATTTGTATAGTTAGGCTCCTGTATTATAGTTTATTCTATTTTGCATTCCCTCTGCTACCTGGTGGATTTTTTTTAACCGACAGTAATAGTCACTCTTCATGCTGTCTAGTTCTATGGGTTTTGGCAAGCGTCTAGAGTTGTGTCCATCAACACAGCCACGAGAGGACAATTCCATCACTCCCAAATTCCTTTCAGTTGCCCCTTTGTAGTCATTCCCCCCCCCTTACTCCTTGTCCCTGAAAACCACTGATTTGTTGTCCTTCCTTACAGTTTTGCCTTTTACTAAATGTCATACAATGTAATCATACAAGAAATGGCTTGTCATGTCTGGCTTCTTTCACTTAGCAAAATAAATCAAGTTGAGGCAGAAGCTGCATACAGTTCAATGTACGTATCTTGAGTGTATCATTCAATACATTTTGACAATTGCATATACTTATGTAACCTACACTCCCATTGAGATATAGAACATTATCCTCACTCCATGAAGTTCCTTCCTGTCACATCTCAGTGTGTTTAGATACAACCACCATTCTGATTTTTTTCCCTATCACAGATTTTTTTTTTTTTTTTTTTTGCTATTCTTGGAATTTAGAGTCTCATATAATATTTACTCTTTTTTTGTGTGTGGCTTATTTTGCTCAGTACATTCCTATGATGTTTCAATTAGGTTATAATAAAAGATAAACTAACGTTTCCTATATATATATATACCAGAAGCCCCATAAATGCTTTACATATGTTAACTAATTGAATACTTAATACAAGTCTACAAAGTAGGCCTTCTATCATTTCTATTTGACAGATGAAGAAATAAAACTTTGGGACAAGAAGTTTGTCACTTGCTTGAGGTAACCATCTCTAAAGGAGAGAACCAAGATTGGGCAGAACAAGAGACTGAAATCTGATAAGGTCAAAACGGAGATGCCAGTTGATCTCACGGGGAGTTCCAGGGCTGAGGTGGCCTTTCAGGGTATCACAAATCGAGGCAAAGGAATCTGGGCATTTGCACTCCCCGTAGGAACCAGTCATTGGAAGTGGGCTACCCTGGGGCGGGGGCGGACTTAGCCTTAGGTGTGGTACTTTCCTTTGGCCCAAGAGAATTCCTGAGAGCATGGTGGCACAAGCCATTAGAACACTTCCAGCAGCGGGGGCATGAGTGCCTTAAAGAGTCCTGAAAGAAGGATCTGAGAAATATACCACCGTCTCCATTATGGCGCAACACTTAGGCCACTCAGATGCACTTGCTTCTTGGGAGTGAACGCACACGGGATTCTGGTTAGTCCTCTTGCTTGGAGAAACTTACAAGAGGAAGATCGGTGAACAAATGACAGATCGCTCTCGACAGCAGCTTTTCGCAGTGCTGCAACGGATACTTAACCGCCACACTTCTACCACCCCGTCCTCCATTCCCTTCACCCGTAACTATGACCTCTGCTGGACTTGGAGGGCGGGTCTGGATCCTCACCCCTAAGGAGTCTGAACATCTGGCCAATAGGCCCTTCTCAGGATACAGCTGCTACATTTATTTATCAAAAACAAACAAAAACCTGGGGTAAGAGACATGCCAAAGGATTGCCTGAGTGCCAAATGTCCTCTGCCCTTACTGTGTAACAGAAGCCCCACATCAGCTGGCACAGGGTTACCTATGCAATCATAAAGCTCCATGGGACCCTTACTTTGCTGGTAAAAAGCCCTCTGGTAACTCGGGCTTTTAGGTTAATTATTTTTGTGATTTCCTCCCAAGAGTCCCCTGACCTACCTTATATGAAGAACACGTGTGAAGGCAACTGTTCTAGACTACGGGTGGGAGCATCAGTGCTTTGACAATACCCAGATGGTACAGCGGCTGCTACAATTCAGGTATGTGAACTTTCTACGCAGGTGACTGACAAAAGTAGATTCTGAGAAGCAAACGGGGTGAAAAGTTCTGAATAGCTTCCATTTGCCCCAGTGGACCCACTTTCTCTACCTTTGAGTCTGGTAACATTAATCAATATGAACTACATCAGTGGGATTCCTTGCCTTGTGGCCTTTGGTTGGGTTTGGTCAATGGGGACCCTAGGCATGAAATCAGAAGGACGAAAGAAGGGGACGTCTAGCTCTGGCTATTTCTTGCAGAACGTGGAGCTGGATGCTACCCCCGACCCCCTCCCCCCAGCTCCTGGAATATGCAGTTCTTTCCTCTCCTGTCTGTGGATTTCAGTAATTGTTCCCTTCTCTTATCCTTTCAGGGGTAGGGATGTTAATAGAGTCCTGGCCTTCCCCGCTACTGGGTACCAACGACTTCTTGTGGTTTTCCTCCATCCTGTCCACAACTCTGTGAGTAGCCTCTTTATGGAAACTCTACTTGAAGTGTCCTAGTCTGTGTCAGTTGCTTCCTGCTGGGACTCTGACTGGCATGCCAGCTCATTCAAAGTATAAGAAAAAGTCCTAATGGGACAATAAAATCCAACAAGATCAAGATCCACCACGTCTCTGACCACATCATCCTCTAGCACACCCTCACTACACCCCCAGCTCGTTCTACGCTCATCTCGTTGGCTGCTCTGCGGCGGGACTTTGCATGCCAAGCCTGCTCTTGCCACACACATTGACTCACTGTCCCAACTTGTTAAGGTCTCTGCTCAAGTGTCCCTTGGCTAAGAGGCCTTCCCTTCCTATTTTATATACAACGGTAAGATCCCAATCCCCCCTTAACTATTTTATCATGCTTTGCTTTTCTGATCAACACTTAAAATAGCAAGTCTTATTGATTTTTCTATAATCTGTCTTCCCTCATTAGAATGTAAGTGCTTCAATAGCAAAACGTACATTTCATGCATTGCTATAAACACCAGTGTCTCAAACAGGGCCTGGCATATAGAATATACTCAATAGATAGACTAGTGGTTAAGAGCACGGATGGGGTTCAAACCTGGGCTCTACTATTTACTAGCCAGTGAGTTCAGGCAAGTTACCAGTATATCATGTTAGTTTTCTCATCTGTAAAATGGGAATAATAATAGTACATACTTCTTAAGCTTATACTGAGTACTCAATAAGTTCGTATTTTCATAAGGCACTCAGAAAAGTGCCTCAGCTATAGGAAGGGCTACATAAATGTTTAGTCATTTATTAATGTACTGAAATACTTCATTATAAAAAAATGACCCCTACATAAAAAGGAACAATTCACAAGGAAAAAAAACTAATCCTGAATGTATTTAGTTATACATCCAAATATATAAAGAAAAAAATGACAGAAATGACACACACAAAAAAACTGTTAATCCATATCCTTAGAAGACTTTAATAGACATCTACCACTAAATAAGTTTGAGGACAAAAACCTGAATGTACATACTATATCTGAAAACACAATTAACTTGAGTTAATGGGCACATAGTCTACATCGAAAACTTAGAGAATATACATTATTTTCAAAGAAACATGGAACACTTATCAAATGGGACCAACTAATAGGTTTCCTAGTTAGATATTGCATTCGGCTGGACATGAACAGACCACCACCTCAAAAACAAACCCCCCGAGAAAAAGACTTTGGCTTCAACCAGTTAGAGGTTACTTTTAATCATGTAAGGAGTAGTCTGGGCATAAGCAGTCCAGAGCTGAGACCGCCAATCAGAGGTCCAGGGGGAGCCCATGTCACTGTCATTTTGTGCTGCACTATGGTGTCTGGCATCACGATCAAAATAGAGCACTTCTGACTCTTGGCCTCGAGTCGACTTTCAAGAGAAAGCACGGGTAAGACGAACAGGATACAGGTGGGGAACGAGCCAGATGGTGTTCTCCCCAGTGACTTCTACCTACTCCTCATGGTCAGCAGAGCCAGGCAATACCTCTCTGGGCCTCAGAGAAGCCTTATAAGTTGCGCATTTTTAATCCTCATTGACAACTTGAATGACAACGAAAACATTTTTTACGTAAATGAGTGGGGGACGATGGGCATTGGGAAAGAAGCTAAACAAAATGCCATACTAGAGGAGAAAGATAAAAAACAATCAGCATCGTAAAGTCCGCTTACCTGACAAAAATGCCATTAAACTAGAAAAAGTATATAGTAAATACGGTCTAATTTCCACTAATGATAAACTAATTCACTCAGGAGATATTCAGAAATGTCTTTTTGGATATGCTATGTACTGATGTTTTTAAAGAGTAAATTAGAGTTAACATGTTACATACAAAACTATGGAACATAATTTAAGGTTTATTTTAGGTATGGCTATAAGACGTGTTTATACTAAAACAAAAAGACTGAAAATTAATGAACTAGTGGCCCGATCTTAGGACGAGATAAAGGTAAACCCACACTCAAAATCGATAATTTCCATTCCCAGTTTAACTTATTTTGTGGCCCCTCAGTAAAGAGCTGAGGCATCACTTTTCTAGGGTTTCCCTACAATGTGAGTTCTCACAAACCAACAAAGAATCACTGAAAGATTTTTTCCAAATTGATACACTCACAACTTTTGCCTCCAAAGAAAACTTCCTATTTTTCCTAATGTAAGAGGTATCATCAAAGGCCTTCCCTCAGTCTTTATATTCACAAGTGTCTTTGCAGTGAATTCTGTTTCCTAAGGAATGTGGAAAAATGACTTTCCAGTACTGATGACATTCGAAGAGAATTTCTCTCCAGAATAAACCCTCGTGTCTCTTAAAAACTGAGAGAACATTCGAGGCTTTCCCACAGTAATTGTATTCGGAATCTCTCCCCATCTTTCGCTCAGTAATGCAAACGCTTGTGCTGAAGGGTTTCCCACATTCCTTTTAGGATTCCTCTGTAGTGATTTCTCACATGTGCTCTATGGGATGAGTGTCGCTGAAGGCTTTTGCATTCTGAGGATAGTCTTAAGGTTTTTCCCTTAGTGTGAACTGTTATGTGACTCCCTAGAGATATCACTGAAGGCTTTCCTATAGCTACTGCGCTCCTCAGGTTTCTCTCCACACATAATCTTTTGTGCACATTAGGATGAGTTTGAGCTGAAAGCTTACCACAAAGATTGCACTCATGAGGTTTCTCTCCAGAGGGAATTAAGTTACCGAGGGCTACTTCATATACAATAGATTGGCAGAATGAGAGTCTGCTAAAGGCTTTTCTTCACTGATTTCATGGAAACTCCTCAGATGGTTCCTTATGATCTGTCTCCTAATATATATATATATATATATATATACACACACACACACACACACACACACACACACCCTGTGTTGTTTCTTCCCACTCTGTAAGCAATACAGTACGGAAGAAATGATAGTATGTCCTCCTGAGGATGGGTCAAAAAAGACAATGTGGCTTCTGCATTAGCTCTCCTGTAGATCAAATGCTTTGGGAGGAACCTGATGCTACATCATGAAGATACTTGGCCCTCTGGAGAGTGAAGTAATGAAGATTCTCTGCCAACAACTGGCATTAACTTGCTAGACATGTGAGTGAGCCATTCTGGAAGCAGATTCTGTATCAGTAAAGACTCCAATGATTGTGGCTCCAGCAGACATCTTGATTTCACCTCATGACAGATTCTGTGCCAGGACTACACAGCTAAGTTGCTTCCGGATTCCCGACCTACAGAAATTATAATAAATGTATGAGGTTTGAAGCCACTATGTTTTGGAGGGAAAGTTGTTAGGCAGCAGCAGATAACTCACCCATCTAGTGAGTTACCGTCAGTTGTCTGAGGGTTAAGAGATCGATGAATGCTTTCCTAATTACTGTACTCATATCCACCTATTATGAATTCTCTTGTGCACAGAAAGGTAAGAGTTAGTGGTGAAAGATTTTCCACAATGATTACATTCGTAGGGTTTCTCTCCAGTGTGAGTCCTCACATGTTTCTTAACAGCGGAGAGATTATTGAATGCTTTCCCACAGTTACTGCATTCATAGGGTTTCTCCCCAGTGTGAATTCTCTTGTGCACAGTAAGAGAAAAGCTACTGCTGAAGGATTTTCCACACTGATCACACTCATAGGGTTTTTCTCCAGTATGAGTTCTCATGTGCTGGGTCAGATAGGAGCTCTTCCTAAAGGCTTTCCCACAGTCGTGGCACTCATAAGGTTTCTCCCCCGTATGAATACTATTATGCCCGGTGAGGGAGGACCTCGTGCTGAAGGCCTTGCCACACTGATTACATTCATGGTGATTCTCTCTCGTATGAATTCTCTTGTGGCTTTTGAGGTTACAACTGGTGCGGAAGACATGGAAACACTGATTACATTCGTAGGGTTTTTCTCCAGTGTGAATTCTCACGTGCAGCCTAAGGGATGAGGGATCATTGAAGGCTTTGCCACAGTCCGTGCACTCATAGGGCTTCTCCCCATTGTGTATCCTCTTGTGAATGGTCAGGTAGGATCTACTGCTGAAGGACTTGCCACACTGATTACAGTCATAGGGTTTTTCTCCAGTATGAATTCTCTTGTGCTGAGTGAGGTTAGATTTTGTGCTGAAGACTTTAAAGCACTGATTACATTCATTGACTTTCACTCCGAGATGATTTCTTTCCTGTTAAGAGATGAATGATAACTATCATTTATAGTATTTTTAATATTTAATGAATTTTATGTCATAGGAATTCTCTTTTTCAGGAATTCCGTTACATTATTACAATTGACATTTTGGCTATTTTCAGTGCTCGTATGTGGCTTCTGCCAAGTTTGAGCTGTTAGAAGTTAAAAAAGAAGGATGCTTTGCCACAAATCCTTATCATATTCACAGAGCATCTTCTGATAAACTTAAGACCACTTTATATTTCAACGATCAATATCGTAGTCACATTTAAGGAAATATTTACAAGTGGAAACTCCCAGTGAAGAAACAAGTTTGGAGCTAACTTACGGTTTTCTCCAAATTCACAACTTTTCACAGTATCTCTCCAGAGACAAAATTTCCTCATGTGTAAATGATACTATGACTGTTTACTTTGTGACTTTTCTAACTTACTTTCCTACTGTAAAAACCCAGAAATCAGCCAGGTTAGTCTTACCGCTTTAATACCATTGGAATGTTCTTTTCTAAAAACGTGCTTCTTAGGAGTTAACCACTTGACTTTAAGTACAGTCTCCAAACCTGAAACAAATTGAAAAGAAATGTAAGTTGATGGAGGAAAGGAACAGTAAAGTACATACATGAGTAAAGGCAGACTCTGAGGGATCAGGGTTTTTGAAGAAGTTTGCCATGAAAGGGATGTGAGTATGAAAACTGTAGGTATTAAAGGATTCTAGAAGGATTAAGACTGATCAGAGATTTACAAAAGAAGGGATTATCAGGAATGCAAAGTAGGAAGGAATTGGATAAAGTGCTCCTATGAGATTTAAACTTAAAAAGGAAAAGAAATGTATTAGCACTGTCCGATGACAGACAGCAGCTACACTTGTGGGGAGCACAGTATAACTTATAAACTTATCAAATCACTACGTTGTGCACCTGAAACTGATGTAACACTATATGTTAAGTACACTTCAAAGGAAAAGAGATACGTCTTTTTTCCGCCCCTCTGAGTCCAAGGTAACACATGAGATGTTGAACAGAAAGGTAAAAAGAAGGAACATACACGAAGAAGCTCATACCAAATGTTCTTGACCATCTCTGCCAGAAAAAAGGACATGTTACAAACTTTCCTGATTGACGTTTCCTGAATGTACTATTCCCATGCCCCAAATCACTGGCCAGACCTATTCCTCAAGAAAACTCCTATCTGCCTGTCCACCTGGTGCTCACCTGGACAGGTGCCTGGAAGAATTCCTCGCTCCTGTGTCATCACTTTGTCTTCCTGCTCCAGCTGGGAGGTCAGACTGCGTTTATCAACATGACATCCTATTTGTGGAGAAAAGACACATGATGTAGGGGGACTGTGCAGGTGACAAGCAACTCCATGAAACTGGAGCCAACAATTCTGAAGATGAGCCAGTATGACTTCTGCAACAGTGGAGTAACGACGCATAAATCCTAATGGGTATAGTAACTCTCCAGAAACAAAAATTCAAGCATCCTCAATGTCCAGGTGACAGGATATAAACAGTCCCAAAGTCCATGTCCAAGTTTACATAACATACTTCAAAAGCTCTAAAGCTTTTAACCACAGAGAATATAAAGTCAGGGTAAGGAACAGCTATTCAGTTCACAGGGAAGGCATCAGACAGAAAGCTCCAGGAGGGTGGGGACCACATCTGTCTCTTTCATCACTACATTCCTAAACCCAGCACAGACCCAGGAACATCGAAATGCCTCAGAAAGACTTGTGAGAAGTGACAACGGTGAAAATTAAGGGCTGTTAAACCAAAAGTCCATAACTCCACAAAAACAGTGACTAAACTGGGGAACGCCATCAGAACCAACTTTATCAGAACTTTGGAAACTTATCAAAAGTTTACAGCAACTGGAAAATGTTTAATCAAAGACAACAACCAGCTGACATTTGAACTGACCCTTGTCTAATCTATTCACTGCTTTGGCTGCGACCTTGCAGATGACAGCCCACATTCCTAGTACTGCAGGGGGGACCTATTTATTGTCAAAGATCCGTGGTTGTCTGATTTGACTTCTCTGGCTTGCCCTTTTTTTTTTTTTTTTAATTTTTAATTTTTTTTTTACTTTATAAACTTTTTCTTACACTTGTTTTTTCAATATATGAAATTTATTGTCAAATTGGTTTCCATATTGCCTTTATTTATCTAATCCCACTCTCCAAGGGCTGAGCTGTCTACCCACGAGGCATGGGCTGAACACATTGAAAGGCAAATATCTCAGCCATCACCACCAGAGGCAAGTGAAATAGTAGAGGAAAACAAAAAACTAACCAAGAAGCCTGGGAGGAAAACTATGGAATAAGATGTTTGGGGAATTTTTACAAAATTTCCCTCATATTTCTTTGAATCTAGAAAGCCAGGGTCGGGCACGTGGTCGGAAAAGACCTGAAATTGCATTAAGTCCTCAATTCTGGCTGACCTTCAGGTTCTGCACAAGCAGAAAGTAAAGATTATGGAGAGTTGCCAATTGCCTGCTGATTTTGAAGGTAGGCCCTGGACACCCACACAGAACACATCTGCAGAGACTACAGGTGTTTTAGTTTTTGTTCTAGGCCCCCAAGAAAATCTCTGACCAACCACTAGCTAACCACGAAACTAACACAACAGTCTTCAGGGACCACACGTGACAAATACAGATTACAAAATTAGTATAGAGGTATCACTAAACATACATTCAACAAGCAACAATAACAAATTCTGGTGGTGGAGAGAAATCGGATTCCAGAATTGCTGTGTAATAATGTTCCAAATGTCCAGTTTTGACACTAAAAGTATGAGGCAGGCAAAGAAACAAAAATGAGTAGAAACTGCCCCGAAGGAAGCCCAAACATCAGACTCACTAGTCAAAGAATTTAAATGTTTTTTATTTAGTTTTTGAGAGAGTGTGAGCAGAAAGATCCGAACCGGGCTCTGCACTGACAGGCTGACTACAATGAGCCTGATGTGGGGCTCAAACTCACGAACCAAGAGATCATGACCTGAACTGAAGTCAGACGCTCAACCAACTGGGCCACCCAGGCGCCCCTCAAAGGATTTAAGTCAACTCTTTTAAGTATGCTCAAAGACCTAAAGAAAACCGTCACAATTCTGATGAACTGGAACCCATGTTAAAGAGAAAGAAATCACAAAGAGAAACTACACAGAAATTTTGGAGTTGAAAAGTACAACAACCGAAATGAAAAGTTCACAAGAAAAGTTCAACAGCAGATGTGAGCAGGCAGAAGAAAGAATCAATAACCATGAAGACAGGATGATTTACATTACCTCCCTGGAAGAACAGAAAGAAAAAAGAAGGAAAAAAAAATAAGAACAGAGCCCAAGAGACCTGTGGGATCCCATCAAACATACCAATATACACATCATGGGAATTCATTAAGTGGAGAAGAGAATGAGGTAGAAAGAATATTTGAAGAAATAAGGGCAAAAATTTCCCAAAATTTGACAAAGACACAAATGTACACAGCCAAGAAGCTTAAGAAACCCCAAGTATAAGGTTACACTGAGAGGCACAGAGATCACGAGCACATCTGCCCTACAAGAAATGCTAATGGGAGACTTTCAGGCTGAAATGAAAGGATAATGGATATTAATGCAAATCCACATAAAGAAATAACCTGATAATTGAAAATACACAGGCCAATAGTAATTGGCTATTTTTGGTTTATAATGCTTATCTTTTTGGTTTGAAACTTTCTCTTACATGATTTAAAAGATAAATGCCTACACCAGTAATTGTAAATCTATGTTAATGGGCACACAAGGTATAAAGATGTAATTTGTGGCAAAACAAAAGAAAGCAGGTGTGTGTGTGTGTGTGCACAGGTACATAAGAGCAAAAATTTTATATACTAGCAAAACAAAGTTGGTATGAAATCAAAATAGGCTGCTATGAATTAAAATGTTAATTGCCGGACTTTAAGCTGTATTACAAGCTGTCATCATCAAGAAAGTATGGCACTGGGATAAGAACAGACACTCAGATCGATGGAACAGAATAGAGAACCCAGAAATGGACCCACAAACGTATGGCCAACTAATCCTTGACAAAGCAGGAAAGAATATCCAGTGGAATAAAGACAGCCTCTTCAGCAAGTGGTGCTGGGAAAACTAGACAGCGACAGGCAGAAAAATGAAACTGGACCACTTTCTTACACCAGACACAAAAATAAACTCAAAATGGATGAAAGACCTAAATGGAAGACAGGAAGGCATCAAAACCTGAGGAGAAAGCAGGCAAAAACCTCTTTGATCTTGGCCGCAGCAACTTCTTACTCAACACGTCTCCAGAGGCAAGGGAAACAAAAGCAAAAATGAACTACTGGGACCTCATCAAAATGAAAAGCTCCTGCACAGCGAAGGAAACAATCTGCAAAACTAAAAGGCAACCGACAGGATGGGAGAAGATATTTGCAAACGACATATCCGATAAAGAGTTAGTATCCAAAATCTATAAACAACTTCTCAAGCTCAACACCCAAAAAACAAAGAATCCAGTGAAGCAATGGGCAAAAGACATGAAGAGACACTTTTCCAAAGAAGACATCCAGATGGCCAACCGACACCTGAAAAAATGCTCAACATGACTCATCATCAGGGAAACAGAAATCAAAACCACAATGAGATACCACCTCACACCTGTCAGAATGGCTAACAGTAACAACTCAGGCAACAACAGATGTTGGCAAGGATGTGGAGAAAGAGGATCTCTTCTGCACTGCTGGTGGGAATGCAAATTGGTGCAGCCACTCTGGAAAACAGTCTGGAGGTTCCCCCCCAAATTAAAAATAGAACTACCCTATGACCCAGCAATTGACTACTAGGTTTCTATCCAAGGGATACAGGTGTGCTATTTCGAAGGGACACATGCACCCCCATGTTTATAGCAGCACCATCAACAATAGCCAAAGCATGGAAAGAGCCCAAATGTCCATCGAGGGATGAATGGATAAAGATGTGATGTATATGTATATGTACATATCACATTATATATATACCACACACACACATATATAAAATGGAGTATTACTCGGCAATCAAAAAGAATGAAATCTTGCCATTTGCAACTACGTGGATGGAATTAGAGGGTAGTATGCTAAGAAAATTAGAGAAAGACAAATATCATATGACTTCACACATATGAGGACTTTAAGACACAGAACAGATGAACATAAGGGAAGGGAAGCAAAAATAATATAAAAACAGGAAGAGGGACAAACCATAAGAGACTCTTAGATATCGAGAACAAACTGAGGGTTACTGGAGGGGTTGTGGGAGGGGAATGGGCTAAATGGGTAAGGGGCATTAAGGAATCTACTCCTGAAATCATTGTTGCACTATATGCTAACTTGGATCTAAATTAAAAAATTAAATTAAATAAAAATTAAAATAAAATGTTAACTGTAATCCCCAGGACAACCATTAAAACAAATAAATAAAAAGAAATGACAGGGAATCAAAATGGTCCATGAGAAAACATTTAACACACACACACACACACACACACACACAATGAAAGAATTGAGGAACAAAAATGATAGAAAACATGTAGAAAATAACAAAATGGCATAAGTAGGTCTTTCTTTATCAATAATAACCTTAAATGTTAATGGATTAATCTGTCCAACTAAAAGGCAGATTTGGGCAGAACAGATAAAGAATATCCAATTATATGCTCTCCATAAGAGACTCAACTTACATCTAAACACACTAAGAGGCAGGTAGGGAAGGGTCAACATGGCAGAGAAGTAGGGGGACCCTTACTTCCCGCCTCTCTCAAAGAAGTGCTGAAGCCAAAGGACTCTGAACCCCAAGAGTAGGGGAGGAAAAGAGACTGAATCTACCAGGAAGAAAATGGGACAACTTGAGAAAGGACAGGTGGGTGATTGTGAACTGAGGGAGACAGAACAGGGTGGGTAGGCACAGAGGGGAGGCATCCCCTTCTGCGGAGAGACAAAGGGAAGAGAACGTCTAGGAAAGTGTAGGACTGTATCTGCACAGGAAAATGACCTCGTACTGGGACTCAGAGGGATCCCACCTCTAACGGCAGGACTTTCTTCGGCCTGGGGCCGGCTCCCTGTTCACGCACCCGGGGAGGAGGGGAGCCAGCCCTGGGTTCGGTGGTAGGTCAGGGGCGCAGTCCGCAGTGGGAGAAAGCGGCCACTTCCCCAGAGTGCGGTGGGACGGACCAAAGCCTGCCTGTGTCCGCCACCCCCGGGGCTCAGTGGCGAGGTCAGCGACGCAGTCTGCAGTAGGAGACGGAGGTCCTCCTTGAAGTGCGGTGGCACAGAC